TTTGGATATAAAAACCCATCCCAAACTATATCATGCCAACCTACCAACGGAGCTGGTTGAATTAAGAACCTGTACATAGCAGAAAGAAGAACTTTGCCATTAGAACAACACCCATTTATAGCATTCTTCACACCTTCAACACTTCTAAACTTGTTAACCAATATATCCCTCACTTTAAGAAGTTTTTTCCAAATCCATGAATCATTCACTCTTGGTTGAACAAACCAGATATTTTGATTTTGTAAGTAGTTTCCATATATCCATTTGATTCATATCAGATCTTTCTTGAGGTGCATCGTCCATAGAAGCTTTGCAGCTGCAGCATAATTCCATTCCTTGCCTGCAAAAATTCCTAGCCCACCCTGTTTCTTCCCCTGGAAGATGGCTTCCTAGGAAATCAAGTGAATATTTTGATTCCAAGGAATCCAGAACATAGGCTATCTATTTTCTCCAAAACTCTCACTAGCAGGATGTAGTTGCTCATCCAAAAAGTCTGAATACACAGGATGGTTGATTTCATCATCTCTAGTCTTCCAACATATGACAATTTCCTTTTCTTTTGCCAAAATTGGAATTGATCTTGAATTTTACCAATAAGGGAAGAGCAGTTAATATTGTTGGCCTTCTTGTTTTGATGATATTTAACAAACAATTTACAACTAATGTTGTTTGTCTAGTATTTGTGTTTTCTTATTTATTATAGACAAACAATGTAGTTAGAGGATGGACTTATTTATTATAGACAAACAATGTAGTTAGAGGATGGATGGAATCGAGCCTTAACGATCATATCAAATGGAGGTTGGCGAAATTGTGGAGTGAAGCAACGTCAATTCAAGTTAAAGATCCAATTACAAGCTTCTTCCACAAATTTTACCAAGTCATGCTCATTGAAGACCTTCATCAAGCTTGAGTATATTTAGTATATGTTTATATTATGTATGTTTAATACTCTAAGCTCAATATCATATACACACACAATATTGGATTTTCTCACAAAATGAGCTATTTTGAGAAAACTTTGTGATATTATTTTATTGACCATGTTTACTTTATATTCATGTGTTATAATGTTTATGAAGACATTTTATAAAGTTTTAATATGCGTTTAAACTCTTTTTGTCAAAAACATGTTCTTAACAAATTCATATTCATGCATGTTTTTACAAAATAATGAGTTTTCACAATTGATAAATGAAAAATGAAAATTTATTTTTGTAACATGTTTGTTTTTATGTTTATAAATATTTTGCAAAGTTTCATCAAGTTTGGAATTGATTTGTTATGTTTAATGGAATTTACAAAATCATGTTTTTGTTCGTGCACATGTTCGTGTATGTTTTACAAAACAGATGAGTTTTCATAAATGGGAAGTAATATTCAATAAATTATTTCTTTGACATGTTTATCTACATGTTTAGAAACGTTTCTCAAAATTTTACTATTTTTGGAGTTGATTTACTATGCCCAATTGATTTTACAAAATCGTGTATGTCAGCAGATTTTCAAAAACTGTATTTCTGTGTTCAAATATTTATTTCTCTCAACTGGGAAATCCTTTTTCAGAAATTCTTTCTCTAACATGTTCTTATACATGTCTAGAACCTTTTCTAAAACTTTCATAATTTTTGAAGTTGATTTACTATTTTTAATTAATTTTATAGAGCTAGATATATAGTGCTACAGTACCCACGGTCGACTGTGCTACAGTGCAGTCGACCGACGAACTCTCTGGAAAACTCCTCCGTTTCTGACCTTGTTTGCGGTCGACCGCGATTTTCCTCGATCGACCGCCGTAGTTCCAACGGCTATTTTTAGAGCCGTTGCAGAGTGGTTTTTTTTGTTCTTTTTCTTGGCTTTCTCTTACCTTTGGGGTTTCATATAAATACCCTCTTACCTCAGTTTTTACAGTAAAACAAGAGAATGTTTTAAAGAGTTTTAAAAAGAGTTTAAGCTTATTTTAAGCTTGTTTAAGGGTTTGGTTTAAAGCTGTTTTGGTTTTCACAAGTGGAGAAGATCATCTTCTTGTTTGGGCTTCAATCTCTATCTCTCCATCTTGTTATTCAGAGAAGAATCTCTAAGCTCATTTCTAGCTATTTATTATTTTGTTTATAATTTCTATATGCTAGATTTTAATTGAGTTTAGTTTGATTTTGATTTCACTCATTGTTTTTGTTTGTGGGAAAATTTGTAGTAAAAGAAATAAAGAAAAATTGATTTGTATTCCTTTAATCTCAGTTACAATTGGATTTCCTGATTATAAAAGAGAGGAGAATGATCTGGATTCTGCCATTTGTTTAATTCTGGGTTCTTTACGGTAGCGATGAGATGCCTCCCTCGAATGCTCGCGTCGAGTTTGCTTCTCGTTGACGATCCGACGTCTTGTTTCACTGGAACATGATCTTCTCCTCACGATTTGACGTTGTGGAGAACTTGCGTGGCAAGTTTGAAACTCTGGACGAGTTGATAACTCTGAATGAGTTGGAAACTCTTGAAAAAGAGTTGATTTGAACCGAGAATCGGTTCTCAAGCCAAGGATGAAGAAGCTCTTGTTGCAGATCTCCCAAGCTCCAGAAATGCTCTAAGGATCCTGTTGACGAGCCAAGAAGTTCCAACCGACCGACCCCTGAACTGAATTGATTTTTAGTTATTTATAGGGGATTAAGGGGTGTAACCGTCCCTTTAATTCGCTCCTAAGTGGGGCTAATGGGATGTAACCGCCCCTTAAATCACTCCTGAGTGGAGTTGTGATCCCCTCAGATCGTGGGAAATGGTTTTGAAACCGTTCAGCTCGTGTTTGAACGAGTCAAACGCAAATCCTGTATTCTGGAATGAAATCTGCGTTTGAACATAATGTCTGGAGGCTCGGACGTAGCGTCTTGTTGGAAGCTGCGTTCGCGGCTGAACATGAGTTGCGTTGACGGCCGAATCTGACCTGCGTTTGCAGCTTTTGGAGCTGCGTTTGCGGCCGAACAGGAGCTGCGTTGGCCGCTGAATCTGAGCTGCATTTACAACTTTTGGAGCTGCGTATGAGGCCGAACATGAGCTGCGTTTGCAGCTTTTGGAGCTGCGTCTGAGCTGCATTTGTAGCTTTTGGAGCTGCGTTTGGCAGCGGATGGAAGCTGCGTTTGGCAGCTTTTGGAGCTGCGTTTGGCAGCGGATGGAAGCTGCTCTGAGCTGTGTTCGTGGCTATGAACACGGTGCGTCTTGAAGCTGGTACGCGGGGAGGACTTCCACTCTGAGCTGCGTTTGCAGCGATTTGAAAGCTGCGTTGGCAGCGTTGGAAGCTGCATCTGAGCTGCGTTTGTGGCTATGAATACGGTGTGTCTTGAAGCTGGTACGCGAGGAGGACTTTCACGTCTTGGTTTGAAGAGACCGTCAATTTGTAGTCTCTTTCTGTCAAAACATTGCAAAGATCATCGTTTTGTAATCTTTGCTTTAGCTCTTTGATATATGAGAGTCGTCAGATTGTAACTCTCGATGTTGATTGTGAAGGCTGTTGATTAGAGCTTTCATCAGTTGTTGCGAAGGTCTTCAGATTGTACCCTTCATCAGTCTACGTGAAAGTCTTCAAATTGTAGCCTTCTGGAAGTCGTCAGATTGTAACTTCCATCATCGGTGTTTTGATGGGGATCAGCTATCTATTGTGATTTTTTGACAGCCTACAGTTTACACACACGTACTTGAGCTTATTGTATTTGCATTCATAATATATATTTGGGGTTGTGAGAGTTGTAACATTGAGTGTGAGCTTTCATTGTGTTCTCATCCATAGTAGAGAACAAACATTTATTGAGCCTAATTGTGAGATTCACTTTGTAATACACTTGTACACCGAGAGGAGTGTTTGGTGAGAGTCGGGGATCATTCCAAGAGAAGTGGCGTCGGATGATGAGCCTAGGGAGAGGTTGTAACTGAGCACTTGAGGGAGACACGGCTAGGTCCAACACTTGTGAGGGTGTAGAGTGTGATTGCAAGAGTGTCGATTGTAAAGTTTTCGGTTAGCTAGAAAACCGAGTGTGAGGTGTAAACGTTATTCGGGTAAACGTAGAAAACCCGGTCGTGATAGTGGATTTCTCCCCGGGAGTGGGGAGAGGAGACGTAGGACGGAAGGTCCGAACTCCGTGATCATTTGATTGTATTTGAGTGTGCTTTGGTGTTCATTTATATTTATGTTTATATCTTATATCGCCATTGTGCATTGCTCGTTATTATATCATCCACTATCTTGTTTAGATTATTTACCCTTGTATTGTTTATATATCCTTGCACATACATTACTTATATCTCATTATTAGGATATATCTTGTTGTTCATATTGCTTATCCTAGCTCATATATATTGTTGTATTTCACACTTGCTAGGATAACTCTTTAATTAATTTTAATTGGCATATAATCGGATTAAATTAGCATAAGACCCTAATCACCCCCCCTCTAGGGTCTAACAAATATATGAAAGTATTTTTGTATTCAAAGGCAATCTAAGGTATTTCATTGGAAGTACTCCCTCTTGGAATCCCAGATAATCACAAATCTGATATTTGAGGCTATCTTCAATACCACTTAAATAGACAGAGCATTTACTAAGATTAGCTTCTAATCCTGAAGCTTGACTGAACTCTTGAAAACATGTAGTAATTTTTTCAATTGAGCTCTTGTCAGCTCTGCTAAACAGTAACAAGTCATCTGCAAAGACCAAGTGAGTTATCTTCAATCTTGAGCATTTTGGGAGGATTTTGAAATTCCTATCAGCTTTTAGAGAGTTTAACTTCCTTGATAAGTATTTCATCCCAATTACAAAAAGATTGGGGGATAGAGGATCCCCTTGCTTTAGTCCTCTTGCACCACAAAAATAGCCATGTAATCTACCATTGAGTGATAATGAGAATTCTGGAGTTGAAATACACTCCATGATCCAGCCAATCATAGTGTTAGGAAAACCTAACCCAACTAACATAGCTCTTATGAATTCCCAGCTAATAGTGTCAAAAGCTTTCCTTAATCAACATTTAGAATAGCTCTAGGGGAGTTATGCTTCCTACCATAGTGCTTTATGATCTCATGTGCTAACAAAAAATTACTAGAGATAACCAATTACTTTTTGTATCAATGCTAGAAATAATTTTGGAGATGATTTTGTATATGATATTATAGCAGGATATAGGTCTATAATCAGCTGCAGTATTTGGATTAAGGATTTTTGGCACCAAAAAAATGGATGTAGTGTTAAAGTGCCCAAGAGCTTACCTAAGGTAAAGAATTCTTCAATAGCTAGAAAAAGATCCTCATTGATGACATTCCATGCAGATTTGAAGAAAGAAACATTAAACTCATCAGACCCAGGAGCTTTGTTATCAGACATTATAAATAGAGCTTGTTTTATCTCATCTCTAGAGGCTGGAGAACTTAGTTCAGCACAATGTGTAGAGGAAAGAATTGGGCCATTTGAGATCACTCTAGGATCAGGAGCAGAAGTTGTTTTCTTATTACCAAACAGTTTTTTATAATATTCAACAAATTCTGATGTTATTCCATCCATATCAGCTATTCTAGAGCCATTTTCAGTATATATAGATAAGACTCTGTTTTGATGCCTCTTTGATTTCATTACTGAATGAAATAACTGAGAACTCTTATTTGCATGCAATGCCCATTTGATGTTAGTTTTTTGCCTATAGAAAGAACTTTCACAATCAAGCAGATTGGTATATTTCTTGATGCGATCCTTCTCTTTTACTATCAGCTCTGAATTGAATAAGTCAGAATTCAACTCCTCTTGAACATCACATAGCTCAGATTTTGCTCTTAGCACTTGTTGACTGATATCCATAAATTGCTTTTTATTCAAATTCTTAAGAACATGTTTGAGGTTTCTGAGTTTAGTATAAAACCTGTACATGTTGTATCCTCTAATTTCCTTGCTCCAAACTGTATTCACCATTTCCAGGAAATCAGGATGCTTAGCGCACATATTAAAAAAATTTGAAAGGCTTTTATCTTCAAAGTTATCATCATCAATTGTAATTAGCCCTGGAGAATGATCAGAGCAAAGGGGTATCAAATATTCAGCTTAGCTTGCAGTGTGTTTATGGATCTAGTCATCATTGACCAATATCCTATCTAGCCTACACTATTAGTCTTTAAGTTTTGATGATGATTTACAACCATCATTATTAGTACTAATTACTTGTTAAGTGATATTTTAGATTATAAGAATATCAAGCTTATTAGTACCTATATTGGAGGATTGGATGGAACAACAGCTACAACAAAGATATCCAAAGAGGTGGAGGCTAAGTGATGAAGTAAAGCTATCAAGAGCACGACACTCACAAGAAGCTTCATCAAAGATATGAGCAAATATCAAGGCCAAGGAATTGTATTCATATATGCAAGATATTTGTATTTTTATTTCTCTATAGGACTTAATGTAGGCAAGTCATTAAGTTGGTAACTTTTAAAGCTCATTGGATTCACACACACACTTTCACACAAATCATTGTTTTTGAACTATTTTGGAAAATCACTAGCTTTTACTTTTGGAAAATGATTTTTCTATAATTCTTTTTCTAACATATTAAAAATCATGTTTATAAATTTTCCCAAAGTTTTATATTTTTTGAAATTTATTTACTATTTTCTAAGGGCCTTAAAAGATCAAATTTCAAACATGCACAGTCCCTGTGCATTTTCATAAGTCGACTTATCAGGTCATATAAGTCGACTTACGAACTGCTCTGGAATGTGCGATTTTTCTCGGCCAAGGTGACTTATAGTAAGTCGACTTATACTTTCTTCTAAGTCTACTTATAGAGGTTGTTTTATACCTGTAACGGCTAGTTACAAGTCGACTTGTCAAAGTTGCAAGTCGACTTATAACGGCTAGTTTCTGGCAGCTGGATTTTTAGTATTTTTTATTTTATTTAGGATTTGAGTTGGGGTTTTGGGATTCTATAAATATTTAACCCCTCTCTTCATTTTATAATTGAATCAAGCAAGAGAAAATTCCCAAGCTTTGCATTCTAAGTGTTTTGAGCTCTAATTTTCAATTTCTCATTCTCAAGCTCTTGTTCTCCTCACTTACACACTCCACAATCCTTGAGCTTCATTTATTTTCAATTTCTCATTCTCAAGCTCTTGTTCTCCTCACTTACACACTCCACAATCCTTGAGCTTCATTTATTCCTTACTTAATCCTTATCATAGGGATTGATGTGAGAGCCATTCTTGTTCTATTGTAATTGCGTGGTGAGGTTGATCTTGATAATATCAAGTGTGTGGGTTGTGAGATCTCAAGAAGAGATCATTGTGAAGAAGTTCTGGCTTCCAAACCAGGTCGTGATAGTGAAGTTCTTCTCGAGAGTGGGGAACGGGGACGTAAGTCGGAGGACTGAACATCGTGAACATATCGCATGTCACAATTGACTAACTATTTCCTAACTCATCTCCTTTATATTGTTTTAGTATTTTATTTTATGGAGTATTACATTGCCTTTAGTTTGATTGCATATTTATTGCCTTACAACCCTATTCACCTCCTCTAGGGTCCAACAATTAGTGTCAGAGCAAAGTCTCTATACATTTTTAGGTTTAACCACTTTAGAGAAAAGATCCAATGGAGGCTTCTTTGAATGTGCATATGCTTGAGGGACAATCCACCACTAGACCCCCACTTTTCATCGGTAGCAACTTTGATTATTGGAAGACTAGAATGAGGATTTATCTATGATGCATTGACCTTGATATCTTAGACATTATAGAGAAGAAATATGTTGAGAAGCCTAGTAGTAGTAGTATGACCGATGGTGAGAGGCATCAAGCAAACCTTAATATAAAAGCCATGAATGCATTAATTTGTGGACATACTCCTAATGAATACAATAGGGTTTCCATGTGTGCAACCGCGCACGAAATTTAAAAAAAATTGTGTATCACTCATGAAGGAACCCCCAAGTTAAGGAATCCAAAATTAGTGGCCTCATGCATGATTATGAATTGTTTAAAATGTTTCCCAATGAATCTATTAATGCTATGTTTTCTCGGTTTACTAACATCATAAATGAATTGCATTACCTTGATAAGGTGTTGACAAACTAAGAGATGAACTACAAAATTCTTCTTTCTTTGACGCCGGTGTGGGAGCCCAAAGCAAAGGCCATCGAGGAAGCTCATGATCTTACAATACTTTCTCTTGATGATCTCATTGGCAAGCTCAAGGTCCATGATAAGAAGATCAAGGAGAAGAAGGAAGTACTCCCAAAGGCAACCGAAGAGCCATCTTAAAAATTAAAGACTATTGTGCTCAAAGGAGCAATTGATGACTCATCCTCCAAGGATAGTGAAGTTGATGTCTCTAGAGAAGTGGCACACCTCTCTAGAAGAATATCAAGATTAATTAAAATAAATAAAAATTTTAAAAATCAATCTAACAACAAGATTTCCTCTCGTGTAGGTAAATGTTTTGAATGCAATGAACCGGGACACATTGTAAAGGATTGTCCCAAAGTAAAGGAAAAATACTTGAAGTACAAGAAGAAGAAGGCTACGTACGTCGGATGGGATGAATCTGAACCAAGTGATTTAGATAGCAATGACGAGGGCGCCAAGATTGCTCTTCATGGCCCAAACATTTGCTTCATGGCTCATGAAGATAAGGTATAATCTGAAACCGAAAGTGAATCTCTTTATATGCAATGTGAACTAGAAACCGCTTTAGAAGAATTAATCTTGAATTTAAAAATTTAGCAAAAAAATATTCTTCATTCAAAAAATTGCATGTTTCTTGTGACTCTAAGTTTGAGGTTCTACAATCCTCACTAAATGATACTATTATCTTAAAAGATGAAATGATTGGAGACCTAGACTTTGAAAACAAACAATTAAGGTCTCAAATTGAAAGGCTACAAATTGAAAATGATAGATTAAAGTGTAATCATTTTTACTCTGGTCATAAAATTGTTAATAGAAGATGGAATCACAAATCTCATGCACCCACTTACAAGAAATATTTTATGTGTACATATTGCATGAAATATGGTTATATTTCTACTCATTGTAGGATTAAAAATAACATGGATTATTATGAATTAATGTGGTACCTAAGGGTATCAAAAATACTAATATTCAAGGACCCAAAGTTTGGGTACCTAAAGGTTCTTATTCATATGTAGGGAACGTCTCACACAAGACGTAAGGTTATGGTACTTTGATGGTGGTTGCTCACATCACATGACGGGCAACAAGAAATTATTTGCAACCCTATCAAGGATTGAAGGAGATAATGTCTCCTTTGATGGCGGTGAGAAAGATAAAATTATAGGTATTTATAATATTGGTAAAATACATTCTCCCATAATTGAGGATATTTATTTTTTTAAAGGATTAAATTATAATCTTCTTAGTATTAGTCAATTAAGTGACAAAGGCTTTGACATTACGTTTAAACGTGATAAATGTATTGTTAGTATGAATGATAAAATAATTTTTATCGCTTTTAGAAGATCTAATATTTACATTTTTTGAGATGAATGAGCTAATAGATCAAGATGTGAAGTACCTTACTGCGATGGATGAAGATCCTTAGATTTGGCACAAGAGACTTGGATATGCTAACATGGAGTTAATATCTAAGCTATCCAAGAAAAGTCTTGTAAAAGGGCTATCAAATCTAACCTTTGTTAAGGATTCTATTTGTGAAGATTGTGTTAAAGTTAAACAAACCAAGAACACCTTCAAATCCATAAATGAGGTATTTACTTATAAACCTTTGTAATTATTACATCTTGATCTATTTGGTCCTATGTGTGTTGCCTCTCTAGGAGGTAAACATTATGTATTTGTTATCATTGATGATTTTTCACGTTTTACATGGGTAATCTTTCTTGCAAATAAAGATGAACGTTTTGAATAATTTTCTAATTTTGTAAAAAGAATTGAAAATTAAAAGGATTTGAAAATTATTAAAATTAGAAGCGATCATGGTGGTAAATTTCAAAATATTTTTTTGATGAATTTTGTGCTCATCGTAGTATAACTTATATGTTTTTCGCTCTTAGAATACCACAACAAAATGGTATTGTTGAATGGAAAAATCACACTATGCAAGAGATAACATGTACAATGATAAATACTTTTGATTTGCCTAAGTATTTTTGGGCGGAAGCCATAAATATGACTTGCCATATTTTTAAATCGTGTCTTGATTAGACCTAAATTTAAAAAAACTCCTTATGAACTCTTTTTTGACAAAACCCCATATATTGGATATTTTCGTATTTTTGGTTATAAATGTTTTATCTTAAACACTAAAGACCACCATGATAAGTTTGACTCAAAAATTGATGTTGGTATATTTTTAGGATAGACATATAGAAGTAAGGCTTATAGGGTCTTCAACAAACAAAACCCTTGTTGTTGAAGAGTTTATAAATGTTACTTTTGATGAGACTAATATTGGGTTGCAAGATAGCTTGCCTAGGGATGTTGATGATATTGGGGGAGGATTGGATCTTTTGCAAATAAATGATAAACCCTCAATGGATGCATAAAAGGATGGGAAAAGCAACAACATACAAAATCAAAAAGAACTCCCCAAGGCATGGAAGTTTGCACCGGATCATCCAAAAGAACAAATAATAGGGAATCCATCATAAGGGATTCTAACTCGCTCAAAAGACTTGAGTGAGTGTGGTAAGGTAGCCTTCTTATCCTAAATAGAACTTAAAAGAATTAATGATGCTTTAAAATATGAGTTTTGGATTTTAGCAATGCATGATGAACTAAACAATTTTTAAAAAAATATTATTTGGAAATTAGTTCTTAGACCTAATAATGTTCATGTTATTAGAACTAAATGGGTTTTTTTTTTAAAAAATAAACTTGATGAACATGACATAGTGACTAGAAATAAAACTCGTTTAGTTGCCCAATGATACAATCAAG